GGGGACCTATCCTTCCGACTCCGGCTCCCCGCTCCAGCCTCCAATCTCACGGCCAGGAGTCTCTACGTGTACATGGGCATGCAGACGCGCGTCTCCAACATTCTCCTCCGGATTCTCCGACTCCAACTTCTCCGACTCCAGCATCAGGACATATCACCATTTCTCCAGCTCCAGCTCCCAATATCGACCTCCAAACCCCAACTCTCACCACGCAATCTATGTTTACAATTCACACGGAAACGATTCATTCAGACGGGGGTGGGCGGGGCAAATATCGGAATGTAGCTGGATATGCCCCTCTAGGAATAGGACGGCTTTCATATCATTCCCAGGAGATTTGTCGCCCGAGGACTTCCGGCGACTACGACGGCAAGGATCTGCTCTACATGCCGGCTCCTGCTCTCAATCCTATCTCTGATCCCAGGTGCCACCCTCGACTCCAAGCTCCACCAGCTCAGCGCTTCGACCTGCAGCCGCTAGTATCCGACCCCTCATTGCCACCGCCACCCATCGACCTCCCGCGTTCGCCAGCTCAACATCCCGAGCGCCAGCCTCCAGCATTTGACCTCCTACTCATATCTCCACCTCTCGACCTCGAGCCGCCGTCTGTCCAACGTTCCAGGTTCTTGCCTCCAGCTTTCGACTCCCGACTTCCACCTCAACCTATTGGCCCTCCTGCCCCGCCAACTCGATGCCCCGACTTCCAACGTCCAACATTCGACCGCCCATCACTCTCCCAACCCATGGACCTTCAAGGCCCACCGCTTCAACGCACCAGCCTGCAACCTGCAGCGCCCGACGTCCAACTTCCACATCTACCCGTCGACCTCCAACCGAAGCCAGCTCAGCAATCCAACCTCCAGCTTGCAACATCTGAGTCTTCGTATCCACCTCCTCCTGTTGACATCCAGTCTCCGCCAACTTGGTGCGAGGCGACGTCGCCTACCGCAGCTTCGCTACGCGCCGGCTCCGAAAACGACGCGATAACGATCATCCACAAAAGCGCCCGGAGCCTCACGAACAACGAAGCAATCGACGTTCTGATGCGCGAGTTCGAAGACATCGATTGGGACGTTGTAGCAACCAACGAGACGTGGCGGACTATGAACAGAGAATGCTGGGTTGCGGAATCTGATGGACATGTATTTGCAGCTGCTGGGCATGACAGCCCGACCAGGGGTGTTGCTTCTTTGGTACACCGACGACGCGCACAAAACATCAAGAGCTTCACAGCTATCAACGAGCGAATTGCTTACATTGACCTCGATTTTCCGCAGCGGCAGCTCCGAATGACGACGGCGTATTTCCCGCGCGGAGGGTATGGGGGCCCACGTGTCCAATGCGTTTACGACTTCCTCTCTACAAGTCACGATGATGCCGTCAGGAAAAAGCGCACGTTTGTACTTGTAGGGGATTTCAATGCGAAGGTCGGCAGACGATGTGATGATGGAGACCGCGACAGCAGCCGCGACGCAGAGAGACGAACACTCGGCAACTTCGGACTGACCGGGTGCAATCAACGAGGCATTTTGTTACGATCTTGGGCGTGCACACGTAAACTTGTCATCGCAAACACTACGTTCCACAGGCATCCGCGAAACGTGTTCACCTATGCACACGCTGGGCCGAACTCAACGCAGTCTCAGATTGACTACGTCCTGATTGAACAGCGGGCGCGTCACCTCATGCTTGATTCGTTTTCTTCGTCATGTCCCGACTTGGGGTCTGACCATCAGGCCGTGCACCTCCGTTTGGCAATAGGCGGCGAGAACCATTGCCCACGACGACGGAAGAAACGACGTCGCCAGCACGCGCGCCAACAAAGACCCCGACCAAACGACCCGGTTTCTCAACGCTATCTGAAGGAGCGTTCGAACGAAGGTGGTTCACCGTGCGACCTACACGACGCTTGCATTCACCGAAACGGCGATGACAGCAGCACGTTGTGATTGGCAGGAGCAGCAACAAGCGCACCAACAACAGCTTGATGACACTGACAACAACGACCACGACGACGAAGCAATCAGAGTCTTACGAACCCTCATCAAGCAGCGCAGGAACACACCGCACTCTGACACGGCCACCAGACAAGCAATCAGTAAGCGCATCCTTCGGCAGCACAGGGCCATCAATCGGTCTCAACGACAGCAAGCATTGCGCGACATCGTATGCGAGTTCCGCGGCCTCAAGAAAATATCTGGCATCAAGTCTGGTAAGAGAAAAGACTTGGTACCAGCAGTGGCCGCCAATAACGGCGAGAACGAGACAGACAGACAAGGTATCGCAGACGCCTTCGCGGACTTCTACGAACAGCTGTACCGACGCCGCGCTGCAGCAGGTGAAGATGCTGATCATCAGGCGCTCAACTTTCGGGGCCGCGCCACGCAAAGCGGCGGCCAGCGCATGCCACCTTTCACCGTCAACGAAGTGCACCGCGCAGTGATGCAGCTCAAAAAGGCAAATGCAAGGACACAGCCGGCATCGCAGCAGAATTGTTGAAGGCAGGGGGTGGGGGGCGCCATCGAACAACACTTGTTGGAGCTTTTCAACGACGTCATAGCACCCGAGCAAGAGCCCCCAGACTCATGGAGACGGACTACGATCAGCGTCATTTTCAAAGCTGGAGACCCACAGCTCCCAGAAAACTATCGACCAATTGCCATCATCCCATTGCTATATAAGCTGATGTCCCGGCTGTTGTGCAACCGGCTGGGGGCCAACCTCGACGCTGAGCAAACGCCTGATCAGGCTGGCTTCCGAAAGGGGTATTGCGCGGAAGACCGCCTTTTCACCGCGACCTTGCTGCGTGAAGCGTCCCATGAGTGGCAACTTCCACTGGGTTGCAGCCGTCGTCTTCCAGAAGGCCTTCGATAGCGTTGACCACGAACATCGTTGGCCAGCACTTCGCATGCAGAACGCGCCGGGGCCATCCATGTATAGCACTGCTTCGAAAGCTGTGCAGCGGACAGACCGCCACAGTCAGGACCGACGTCAGCAGCAGAGAATTTAACATCGAGCGCGGCGTCAAGCAAGGCGACCCTCTCAGCTCCTACCTGTTTAACGCCTTACTCGAACAAGCTTTCCGACACATCAAATCTTCCTGGGGTCGCAAGGGGTTCGGCTTACAATTGGGGCACTCGAAGATTACGCTGCTCACCAACTTACGTTTTGCCGATGACGTGCTTCTCCTCGCGCCGAACCTGCGACAGTTGAAGGTCCTTCTCCGCGACCTCAAGAGGGAAGCATCTACGTGCGGACTTGCGCTACATCCAGGCACAACCAAACTCCTAACCAACGTCAGCAGGCGCCAGGGAAGGACAATCACGCACACCAGCGTGGACGGCGACAACATAGAAATCCTCGGCGCTACCCAGACGACCAAATACCTTGGCCGCAAACTCACCTTCCACGACTTTCACCGAGTAGAGCTCTCCAACAGAATTGCGTCTGGTTGGCGCTGCTTCCACAAGTTCCGCGACGAACTCACGAGCAAACGATGCCCCCTCCACAGCAGACTACGACTGTTCAGCGGAACAGTGGCGCCAGCAGTTATGTACGGTTGCTCTTCCTGGGCGCTCACGAAGGACATGCTCGAAACACTACGACTCACCCAGCGACGGATGCTTCGGCTCATCGGGAGCACCCCGAGGCGCCGAACGAGACACGACAGCAACACAACCAACAACGCCGACAGTTCCAACGAGTTTCCCCTCAACGATGATGTCAGCAACCTAGACAACACCCAACAGTTTTGGACAAGACGCAGACCTCCACGACGGTGGCAGCGACGACGATGACGACTTAGAGCCATGGGAATGTTTCATGCGGAGGGCTACGCGTACAGCAACAGACGCTGCAAGACGAGCCAGCGTGGAATAATGGACGGTCGTATATTTCAGACGCAAGTGGCGGTGGGCAGGGAGATTAGCCAGACTACCACACAACAGGTGGACTTACCGAGCAACCTTCTGGGAACCACATGCACACGACCCACGCCCAGCACAAAGGCGGCAAGGACGACAACGAAAACGGTGGGCAGACGACATCATGCTTTTCTTGCGCACCAAGGGCATTGATGACGACCACGACGACGAGACACATTACAACATGTGGTTGTCAGTGGCAGCAAATCAACATCTATGGAAGAATCTGGAAGATGAGTTCGTATATTACGCCTGCGCGTACTACAACCTATAGGATCTAGTACTTCCCGACTCCTGCTTTATGTGTTCCTACCACTCTAGTCATTTCTCCGACTCCCCATTCCACTTCCCACCTCCCCTCTTCCGCGGCTCGTTCTCCGACTCCGGCCCCGACGCCTGCTCGCATTTCCGGGTTCTGGCGATCATTTTTTTTTTTTTGTCCTCTCCGGCCCCAGCTTCCGACTTCAGCGCTCGTTTCCCCGACTCCAGCTCCCATCCCCACGACTCCAGTCTTCCGACTCCTATTCCGACCTCTCCGGCGTTGTGTTGAACCAACGAAACCTTGAATGCCCGAGGTGATCCACGAATGCTTGGCTCCGTCCTGACAGCCGGTTATCCCACGAAGTGGGATAGATGATGTTGTGCACTGACATAGCCGCGGAGCTAACCTACTCACGTTTCGGAACCTTTTGGTCCAGACCTCCCGCCTGATTTCAGCACGCTGGCTACCGTCCGACCCCGGCTTCCGACTTTAGCGGTCGTCTCTCCGACTCCAGCTCCCATTCCCACGACTCCAGTGTTCTCTTTGCCGACTCCTACTCCTGGGGGCCCCGTCCCCCACGCGCTGCCCTCGTAGGGCCGGTCCCCGTCGGACCGACATCGCGCGCTCGTTCGCTCCTTCTCCATGTCGTCCTCCCCCTCGTCATCTCTCTTCCCTCCTCCATCCCCCCTCCTCGCTCCACGCTCCTCGCTCCCTCGTCCTCCCCTCCCCTCGCCTCCCCTCCCCTTCCCTCGCTGGCTATCTCCTTCTCTCCCCCCTCCCTCCTCGTCCTCGTCCTCCTCCACCCGGGGCTGGAGGCGTGAGCAACATCGGATTGCCGTCTGTGCCTCCCGTCGGAGTCGATGCTGGTGTCCAGGGCACGATGGCATCGGCTTCCAGGAGCGGCGGTGCTCAGGAGGAGGGCGGGAGGGGGGGGGGGACACAGGGAAGTGGAGAAGGTGCCTCGTCCTTTTTCTCCCCCTTCCCCCCTCCCCCTCCTGTCTGTAGCCATTTTGGCGCAAGCTGTGCTGCGCTCAGGGATGGAGCGCTGCTCACGCCAACTTCTCCTTCTCCTCCTCCTCCTCCTCCATCTCCTCCTCCTCCTCCATCTCCTCCTCCATCTCCTCCTCCTCCTCCTCCTCCTCCTCCTCCTCCAGAACAGCACTGCGCGTGCGGGCCGAGTCTTTTCGCCCCAGCGCGCCAGCGGCGGATGGCTGGGCCATGCAGGCTACGACGCGCTGGCCTTCGTCCAAGCAGTCTTCGGGCGGCGGTTGGCCCGACTGGCGCAGCGGGGCACCGTGGGTTCGGCCCCGCGATGCGACAGTCGAACGCGACAGCTACAGGGGCCGCCGCTGGCGCTGCGAGTCCTGCGGCTGCAAGAAGAACATGGTCTACGCGGTCTACAAGCACTGTGGCGAGCAGCGTTGGCCTACTGGCGCTGACGATCCTTGGCGTGCTGAATGGCCACCCTTTCCCTTTTGCCCTGGTCCTCTTCGTGCTATGTCTCCTGGCGGTGGTGGTCTTGCGCCTGGGAGCTTTTCTGAGACGGACTTGGCGACGATGGTGGAGTTGGCCAGGAAGAGCGGCGACACGGATGTCCTTGCCAAGTTCGAGGCTGAGCTGGCAAGGGTGGCACCGAAGATGCCACCTCCTGTGGCAGTCCAGCAGCTGGCGTCGAATGCTCACTCCAAGGTCGGGGCCTTGGAGCGGAAGCTGGGGAACGTGGTCTCCAAGCGGGAGAAGCGGCAGTCCCAGCTCAACGCCCAGAGGCAGACGGGCATGGACGCCAAGGGGGCCCTTGCTGAGGCCGACGACGACTACAAGACGCTTGTCAAGGAGTTGGCCGGTGAGGTCGTCGTCGTTGCACCCCCTGCGCCCGTGCATCGACAGATCAAGCCCGAGGGCATTGCCACGGGCGCTGCCAAGGCTGAGGATCCCATCGGCGCCCGCGGAGTTTTTGCAGTTGTTCCTGCGGTGTGCGAGATTACGGGTTCGGACGCTCGCCAGCTTCGTGGCCGACAGCAGACCCTCAGCAAAAAGTTGCAGGATGCTGCCTCGTCCCTCCTCGCAGGCGCGATGGAGCAGGCCGCCTCCCTCAAGCAGGCGCGCGCGCCGAGCATGTCCGTCGGCTTGCGGCCAAGCGTCGGCGGGGTGAGAGAGGGCTGGTCGATGCAGGAGGAGGTCGAGCGGCATGATAGGGAGCAGCGGTTACCGATGCTGGCGCCGAGGGCACGGGCTCCTGCCCATTCTGCTCCAGTTGCTGGTGGTGGTGGTGGAGTCGCAGTGCGTGTGCCTGCCAGCGATCAGGCCGATGAGCATGACATCCGTCAGCGCGCCGCCAGGGCCTTGGAGCAGAGCGCTGCGGGTCAGCTCCCCCCCCGCTGCCGCGTGAGGCTGCTAGGAAAGCAGCTACCAGCAGGGGGGAGGCATCTTCCTGTGAACAGACCAGGGCCAGGGCGACCAGCTGGTGGTTCGTGTGATCGAGAGGCTTAGCTTCTCCAGCAGATCGCTCGGCAACCTAATCCTTTCTGGATTAAAAAGTCGGTTCGGAAGGACGGCGCTGCTCACGGGGTCGTTTCCTGTCTTCTTCCACCGCCGACCCCAGCAAAGGTCCAAGTCGGTTAGTTTTGGCTGCAACCTTTTACCTCGTGTGCCTGCTCAGGAGGCTCTGTCGCTTCGTACCGTGACCTGCAATTTCACGGCTTGAAATTCGGCTCAGGATTGGCTCCTGACTTGTTCGGCCCATGTCGTGCTCCTTCAGGAACACTATTTGCTCGAATATCGCATCCCCGACGCCCACGGGTGGGCTCTAGGGCATGGGTGGAAGGCCCTGATGCTCCCTGCTACGGCCACTAACTCGACGGGTACCTCGGTAGGGGTGGCGGTGCTGTGCAGGAACTTCCTCGGCTGTTCGAGCCGCCAGGCGGATGTGCGTTTGTTCCATGTCGCGCAATCGGGGCCATGATTAACGTGGGGGGACAGGGCCCCATCTATGTTGTCAGCTGCTACCTCGAGGATTGTGAGGGCCTGCCTGATTTTAACATGTTCATCTGGTTTACAGTCGGGGGCTTAGTTTCGTCATGTTTAATTCGTCTCTCTGTGGGGGGATGGTTTCAAGGTGGGGCCGCACGTGTTGGCATCTTGTAAGTTTGCGGAGGAATTGGAAGCCCAGCTGGTCAGCGCCAGCTTGGGAACATCTGGAACTACTTCCAGTGTGGACCCCGAGACCTACGAGGTTTGGTCAAGGGTGTCGCCAGTGTCGGTGCTGAGTGGTTTGCCTCGGTCACTCCCCACTCCCCCGTTGGTAGTAAGTTCCACGCTCAGCTGTATGAGCTTAAGGTGTTGACTTTCCACAATCCACCTCCTTTACCGTAGGCCGTGCGCGTGGGGCCCTTTCCCAGGCCCCCGATTTGTCTTCCGAGGCTGAGCTGGCCAATGAGGTCTTGGGGTGTGCTTTTCCGGGCTCTCGGGGGGCGCAGGCTGGGCCCGCGCGGTTGCGCCGAGCGTGGGCGAACAGGGCTAAGGTGGGGCTTGCTGCGAGCCTGCAGGTCACTGTTCCCATTGCGAATGCCGTGGAGCTATGCCCCAGACCTGGTGGGTCAACGTCCATGAGCGTGATCGCCGACCCTGCAGGCACCCCCCGCTCTATGCTGTGAAGTGGATGTCTCGCGCTTGCCGTGCGTGGTGTGCTGGTGCTTCGCTGAGGCAGTCGGCATGCAAGCGCCGCCGTTCCGTCGTGGCAGTGCTGCTGGTGATCGTGATGCCGTCCTTGGCGGCGAGAGTGATAGAGGGTGCGCAGCGGTCGCCTTGTTCTAGGACTGGGGCGGACTGGATCGGGAACCGTCCACAAGTCCTCCGATATCTTTCTCGGGCACCTTTCCACGTGAGTTCAATGAAATCTTCCAGGGCGTTCAGACCACTGTGGGCTTCGGATACGTCGGCTGCTCGCCGACCGCTTTCGAGACGGGGCGTTCGGCTCTTCTTGACAGAGTTGCGCAGGCTGTGCACAAGGAGTCAGTGGCTGCTCGCCTGGGGGGGGAAAGGTCTTGGAGGGCTTGAGGTCATAAGGGCCTGGGCCGCCGGGCGTGGTCGGCCCACTTGTGGACGTAGGCCTGTTGAGGCTTGTGCGCCTTCCGCGACCCCCTCTGCCGTCGGGCAAGTCGTTGCCGGTCCTTCGGCAGATTTACGTGCTGAAGGCCGCGGGTTTTGTGATCTCTGGCTTGCCAGCACCTGTGTCGAGGATTATGATGTGCAATGCGATTTCCTCCCCCTGGGGCCCTTGCCTAGGGTGCCTGTCGGCGCGCTCAGGGGCGCTAGCAAGTCCTGCGCGGCTTGCTCGGCGGTGGCGGCTGGCGGCTTCCACGTGCGTGATTTCGCGTCGTTGCGCGACGGGGCCCGGGAGTTTGCGCCGCTCTGCTTGCGATGCGTGAAACTTGCTTCTTGTTGCCGTTGCAGGTTCGCCTCGTTGTGCTGGCCATGTTGCCCAAGCCCATGGGTGGCTTGAGGCCGACCGGGCTTTTTATTTTCTCTTGCTGTCTTTGGGGTGCAGTTCGGCGCTCCATCGCTCTCGAGTGGGGGGGAGCTAGCGGCAGTTTTTTTGGGGGCATGGGTTCAAGAGCGCTTCTGGTTTGGTGTGGCGTCAGACTTTCCGCGGCGAGCAATCCGCTATGGGCGGCGGTGTCGCTGCGTCGGTTCTCTGGGAAATTTACAAGTTGCACGAGCCATGACCTCGAGGACCTTACCTGCAGGTGCACCGATCACGGATCCCCCAGTAGTGTCTAGGCTGTGCACTGACGCCTACAAGGCCATGAGGTTCATCGATATCTCGGGATATCTGGCTTCTGGCCCTCGGGGGCGCCATAGCTGGCCGCGGCGTGGCGACGGCCCTCGTTCGTATATACTTTATCCGCGTCTTCTTGTCCATGCTGCTCGCTCCCTCTGTTGGCCTGGATTTGTGCATCGATGATGCGGGCTCAGCCGCCAGGGGTCACTCCAGGCTGTTCTTGCTGGGCTCCGCGACGCCACGGTCCAGGTTTGTAAAGCTACTGTTGACGACTTGAAGTGCGTGTCCCCCCCCTGACAAGGCAGGAGTCATCAGCGGTTGCCCTCGCCTCGGCATGCTGCTGCAGGACTGGCGCGGCGTTTTTGCAGGCAGTGGCAGCGCTGCCACTGCCGTCAATCTAAGGATTGACGACTCGGCTGGTCGTGTTCGACGGTCTCGGGGGCGCGATGTGAAAGCGAGGGCCCGCAACGCCAAGTTCGCCGCCAGGGTTCGGGGGATTTTTCGTCAAACGAGATTCCTGGGACGTTCTGCGGGTCGTCTCTTAATGTCTGGTCCTCTTCCCGGGCTTGCGGGGGGGCTCAAGTTCGCGGGGTCAGCGATTTCGAACTTCAGTCTATGCGAGTGGCTGATAGTAAGTGTCCCAGGCCGTCCAGCGGCAACAGGTGGTTTTCTGCTGCGCTGCTATTTGAGCACGAGCCGTGCTGGTACGGGGCTGTGGCGCCCATCGTGCGGTGGGCCAAGGAAGTGTGGGCCGCTCAGTGTCGCAGTTTTCTGCGTTTCATCGGTTTCCCTGAGCTTCGCCAAGTTTGGTCCAGGGGTTTCGAGGCTGCCCAAGACCTGCCCCAAACATGGTCCAATGTTGCGGGTTTCGTGGGCGCCTTTATCTTCTCTGTCCAGCGGCTGGGCTGGAGTATGCCCAGCTGTGCCGCGTTGCGGGGTGAGTTTGGCGTGGGTTATTCCTTCGCGTTCCTTAGCCCCGCTCTCCTCGAGGGCCTCCTCCGTCGTCGAGTCCGTCGTCGACTGGGACGGGCGGTTGCTGAGTCGATGGGGGTGGGATGGGAAAAGAGGAAAAGGGCTTGTTTCGATGTCGTGAGGCAGCAGGCTAAGAGTAAGAACTACGGCCCGCTGCAGAAGGACTGCATCCGCAATTTGGCGTGCAACGGAGTCGGGGCGGCCGACAGGGCCGGGGTGCGATTCATCATCGCAGGCTTTAGGAGTGCGAAGCATGTCAGGAGCAACGGGGTGAATTTGTGACGGCCTCAGTTCGCCAGGAGGCTTGCGGGGAGTTATCGGATGGCGATCGCATCCTGTTTTCTCGTGGTGCGTTCGAGCACCCAGCTGCCCGCTGTTCGCGCGCTCGCACTTCGGGAGGGTCGGTGATCAGATCGGATAGTGACTTCTCTGAGGGAGATAACGGGGACATGCAATACGATGTTTTAACGTATGGGTCGGTCGTGTTTCAAGCGCCAGATTGTTGACCTTAGCCGCGCCTGCTGGGGAGTTGGTCGTGTCGCCTCTGAGGGTGACTGCCTCTCCGCGGTGTGCGACCTTGCCCGCGCTCCTTTGCCGCAGACAGCGCCCGCGGCCGAGTTCGTGGCGCTTGGCATGGCGCGCCTGCAGTCTGTTGCTCCGTGTTGCAGTGTTGCGGGCTGCCTTGCTGTAGTCGAGCATTTCGCCTTGCCCCCATCGGGGCCCCTTTCGTGCATGGGGAAGTATGCAGGTGTTTTAAGTATGTGAATACCAGTTGATCTTGAGGTGACGTCATCAAGGTTAAGGCGCGCCTCGCATCCAGTGAATGCGGCCTGGCTCCTGACGAAGTGTTTCGTAGGCGTGGGAATGGCCGTTCAGACGCTGCAGCTCGCGCAGGGGCTGCCGCTCGCCCAGCAGCGTCCGAGGCCGAGGATTTCAAAGTGCATCGGCTCGTTCCGGTTTCGAAGGCTGTCTGTGAGCTCGCTGCCCATCAGCTGCCTCTCTGGCCGCGTGTGGAGCCAGACGGCGACGGCTGTCAATGGATCAGTCCGAGCTCGCAGTGTGCACAGTCTGGTGTTGTTCCTGTCTGTGGAGGAATTCCGCATATGTGGCAGTCGCAGCGCAATGTTTGGAGATGCCAGGTTTGCAGGATTGGTTCGCGTTCCTCCGGGGTACCATGCGAGGGCGGGTGCCAGGGTTCCCAGTCGGCCGATGTCGACGTTGCTGACTCGTTTGGTCATGGCATCGTTATCTTGCCATGCTCCGATGGTGCTGGTTGTAACCTTTGTATGCGGTGCGGTGTCTATCAGCATCAGGCTGTCTTTGCGAAGTGTGGTATGTCTTCCATGTGCCAGGGCTTGCTCCAAGGCCGCGGCAAGACCAAGTTTACCACAGCGATGAGGGGGTCCACCCGCGTAGGCCACAGCTCACGGTCGGTCGTCATGAGGAGCTGCCCGCGGCTTCGGTCCCTGCCTCGGCGTTCGTTCCCCTGTCACAGCCAGAGAATGAGCGAGAGGATCCTAGCGCGACCCTTCGTGGAGCTGCCGTCGGCCCCCGCTTCGAAGACGCGGCCGCGGGAGGGTCCGCGAATCGTCACTTTGCAGTGGGATCTGAGTCCGGCTGACTTGCTCTGTGCGTGGCGCCGTCGCCTGCTCGGGGTCTCTGCTGGTGAGCAATCGCTCCCCTTCACATGCGAATCAATCTGTTCGCTGTTCCTTGCCTTCGCACTTTTTGTGTCGGCGACAGTTGTGAGCCTGAAGGCGTCAAGAAGGGAAACCATGCCCACGAGTAGCGTCTCGATAGGAACTGGGTTTCGGGGCTCTCAGCCCGTGTCTGACATCCTTTGGGGGAGGCGCCGTCCTTCCAGAGAGTACGCCTTGGCAGAAGCGTCGGTGTTATATGAAACATCCCTTCCCCCTCCTTCCGATTTTCCTCCGTGGGAGGGTGGTGATTAATTTTTTTAGCTGCAGAGCGAAGTTAGCGAACATCATCATCAGGTGGGACAAGGGCCCAGGCAAACGTTGTCAGCTACAGTGCCTGCCCCGCCACGTTTGGCACCGCTCAAAGATGGCATCTCGTGCAGTGCGTCGAACCCTGTGAAATCCTCCCACTCTTTCCTCCTTCTCCTCCTTCCTCCTCCTCCTCCTCCTCCTTTCTTCTCCTCCTGTCCGTCCCCCCTTTGAGAGGGGGGCGGAGTTTGGGGCTGGAGAGGGGGGGTGAGGGGGAGAGGGCGGGAGGAGAGTAGGGGGACGAGGAGGAGGAGGAGGAGGAGGAGGAGGAGGAGGAGGAGGAGGAGGAGGAGGAGGAGGAGGAGGAGAGGGTGGAGAGGGTGGAGAGGAGCGGAGGACAAGTTCGGTGCGCTCGCGCCATATTTAATCGCTTCGCTCATTCCGCCGGCCCGTATTGTGCCATCGCAGGCGTTTGCTTGCGCGTTCGTGGCCTCTTGGAGCCTCGGTGGGGCCGTTTGGGGCCTCTTGGCGCCTCTTTTTAGGCCTCTTGGAGAACTCGAGAGGCCTCCAGGGGGCCTCCTGAGCTCTCGTGACGGTCTCTTGGGGGGCTTTCGGAGGGCTCTTGGCGGTATTTGTTTGTCCTCTTGGGGCCTGGGGCCTGACGTTGTTGGTCCTCTTGGGGCCTCACGGGAGCTTATTGGGGCGTCTTGGGGGTGCCTTGGAGAGTCTCTTGGGGCCTCTTTCGGGGTCCTGGGCGCCTTCTGGGGCGGAGGGCTCGATTTTTCAGTTCTCGGTTCCCTTCTTGAACCCCTCTTGGGCCCGTCTTGGGGCCTCTTGGTCCGCCTTGGGCAGCACTTGGGCCGTCTGGGGGGCGCTCTTGGGCCGCTCCGGGGCCGTCTTGGGAGCCTCGTGGGCCGTCTTGGAGCAGTCTTGAAGGCCTCTTGGGCCCTCTTGGAGCGTCCGGAAGCGAAAAGGCCAGAACGCAAAAAAACATAGAAAAACAATGAAAATCAACGATTTTGGCAACTTGGGGCCCTCTTCGGAGGCCTCTTGGAAGGCCCTTGGAGCGTCTTGGAGGCCTCTTGGGCTGTCTTGGGGCCATCTGGGGCGTCTTCGGGCGATCTTTGGCCGTCTCGGGCCTCTCTTGGACCGTCTAGAAAGCTTGTCGGGGCCCTCTTGGACCGATCTGGAGCCCTCTTGGACTCCGAAACAGAACTCTGGCATCTCTGACCCGACCTTGCCAGGACCTTGCCGGGACTTGCCGGGGACTTGCTGGGACCTTGCCGGGGTACTTTTCGTCCGGGGACCCCCAGGGGCCGCCCCGCGCGCGCGAACTAGAAATACTGTTAACCAGGTACCGGAGATCTTAGCACGCCCTGGCCCGCTGGGCCGGCGAATTTGACATCCTGCGCTCCCTCTCATCCCTTCCCGCAGCGCCGATCTGTCTCTGTTCGCGGGCGGTTGCCATATCGGGCCTGGAGCCACCCGCACGGCTCGTTCCAACGTGTTATGCGCTCTCAAGCGGAACTGCGTACACGCCAGTCGTTGAACGTAGGTATTTCTGGATTCCCAGATCCCAATCTACTTCAAGCGCCTTCCTACTTCAAGAATCGGCTTGCTGTTGCTGTGTTTTGTTATTCTCTGGGAGGGCCTGGACCCAATCCACTTCATCCGCCTTCCTACTTCATGTTTTTACATACTTTTCTGACCGACGTGTACACGTGACGAGGAAGTGGCGGATAAGCAGGAATACTAGCAGGATCGAGGGGACCATGCTGAAGGAAGAGGCGGAGGAGGACCAACAACAGCATAACCATAATCAGGAGCGGGAGCAGGACGACCATTGGGGAGACGGAGGAAGGTAAGGAGAGTGGTGACAATGACGAGGAAGGATTCGGATCTAGAAATATGACCCGCGTTGCGGCGCTCGCCAGGCTGAACGACGGGAGTAACGCGCCGATCCTAAGATAGGGCCAACGTTACAACGGGAACACTGCTCTGGACCATCCAGACGTCCCGACAAAACAGCCATACGACACATCATACAACAACATGCACACATCTCTAGCGCCAAACAAAACATGCGGGAGAAAAGGTGCCCCCGCTCCCACATAACCTGTGGAGCGAGGAGAGTAGTACTCATATCGTGTAATTGTAGATGAGGCGCAGGATGGGGAGGAGGAGGGAAATGAAGAGGAGGAGCAGCAGGAGGAGGAGGAGGCTCCCTCACTGCCTCGTTCCTCTCTCTCGTGGCTTGTCGTCGCTCGTCTACATCCCCTTCTTCCTCCTGCATTCTTTTTTCGTCCTCCTCTGTCTTATCCTGTCCTCCTCTTCCTTCTCTGGTCCATCTTTTCCTATTGTCCTCCACTTCCTTTTCCTGTTCTCCTCTTCCTTCTCCTATCTTCATTTTCCTCCTATCATCTTCCTCCTCCTGCCCTCTCTTCCTGCTCCTCTCCGCCTCATCCTCCTCTTCTTCCTCCTCCTGTCCTCCGTCCTCCTGTCCTCCTCTCCTTCCTCCTGTCCTCCTCTCCCTTCTCCCCCCCTCCCGACGAAGCCCCGCAGGAGTGCCGAGGCCATGTGCACCCTGGATGAGCCCGTGACGGAGACGATCATGCGAGACCTGAGGTCTGCGTGGGATATGTGGTGAGAGGGTAGTCCAGACCCCCTCGCGTCTTGGAGCAATCAGAACGGAGGTCTTTCCCCTGTAGTAGCCTGTCGCAGGAAAAATCTTTGTCCGGACATCCACGATCCCTTGTAAAATGTACCCAAGGTTCCCCAATCAGAGCTTGCCTCTGTAGGGGTCCGAGCGGATTCATATGGTTAGGTGAGGTGTGGCGCCGATTTCGGTGGCCGGCCCGGGTGCCAGGCGTCCAGGTGCCCCGGTGCCAGGGTGCCGGGGAGTGCCCAGGAGTGCCCAGGTGCCCGGGTGCCTGGGGGTGCCCGGAGGTGCCCAGGGGTGCCTGGAGGTGCCTGGGAGAGCCCGGGTGCCCGGGTGGGGTGCCAAGGCGCTCTATCGCCCTATAGCCCTATAGCCCTACAGCCCTATAGCCCTATAGCCATATAACCATGTATCCCTATAGCCCTATAGCCCTACAGCCCTATAACCCAATAGCCCTATAGCCCATGTAGCCCTATAGCCCATGTAGCCCAATAGCCCTATAGCCCAGCCCATATAGCCCTATAGCCCATGTAGCCCAATAGCCCTACAGCCCAATCAGGGCGGCAGGTTTTCAGTTATTTTCGCCCCCAGGGGGCCCTCGCCGGGCCTCGGGACCTTCGAAAAACGACCCAGGACGAGAAGCTGGTCCCCGGGAGGGGATCGGGACTTCAGGGGCGCCGTCCTGAAAAGATCTGAACGTCGCAGGTCTGGGGAGTCTTCACTGGAGGGACCTCTGGTGCGGGCCCCAGGGGGCCCCCCAGTCGCCGAGCAAGATGCGGCAGCAGTGGCTTGCGCGCTGTGGCTCGGGCCCGTCGCGCCCCCCCATGAAGCTGCGCACCAACGGTCGCTGTTGCCTTCGGATGCAACTCCTGGGAGGTCAATTTCTGATTTAGCCCTGGTCCGCAATCCCGCTTAATCTGGTTTAATCCCGCTTAATCCCGTTTAATCCCGCTGAATCCCGCTTAATCCGGCTTAATCCGATTAATCCGATGCCCACTCCGGCGTAATAGCTCCCAAATGGGGCTTAATCCTCCTCGATCTTTCCGACGAAGAACCTCACAGTAGTTGCCTCCTAACTGTTGCCCAGGGCCACTCTTGCGCGTTGCCGGTTTGCTGAGGTGCACCGTTTAGGGGGGAACAGGCGCGGGGGGGATACAGTCAACCCGCACAGGAAGGATGCGCGATAAGGATGCCAGGGCCTTGGACGCCCATTTCGAAGCTTCTCGAGCGGGGCGCGGCCAACAAAAGTGGCCAAGGATGGACCGAGGATGGTAGAACCTTGAGTTGCAACCTAAGCCTGCCCCTAGGTATTTCAGAATGGTTCCGAGTTTCCCCTGTTTGGTTTCAGACTGGTTTCAGACAGTCCTTTCTTTCAGCACTGAATAGCATGCTGGGTATACTACTAGTAGTGAGGTTAATCTACAGAACACTTAGCTGTGTCTGTTGTATGCTAACATTGAGGTTGTAGTATGTTAGTAGTCAGTACACAGAACTGTTAATATACAGAACGTTAATATTGAGGTTGATTGGGGTTAGTATGTTGTAGTCTGTGTCACGTGGTAGCTCTCGTCGGGTCCCCCGCTCTTGCATGAACATGAATGCGATTCCCCCCCGCATATCCGAGCGCGACACGCTACTCCATAAAAAGTGCACGCCCCCAATTAGATAACGAGCATGAATTACAATAGGGGGATTTGGTAGAAGCTTCCGACTCGGGAAACTCATAGGAGGGAGGGCGGAGCATAAAACTGGAAAAGGGAGGAGCATGGGGAAAGAGTTGGATAGGGGAAAGATCCGACAGCGGAGGATTAGGCGGAGGGTAACTAGTGTTTTTTAGCTTCAATCGGTTACGATTTCTTTGCGTCGTCACGTTTTGCACCACTCTGTCCGCAACCGTCCTGGCTCAAACAATTTACATGTCGGCTCATGCCGCGTCTTGACTGGAGCCACGGTGCGCCACGCATTGATTGTGTATGGATGGTATCGCTGGCTCTGGTTCCGAAAGTAATGAAGTTCTGATTGATGGTGGCGACGTGTCTGACGATCCACAGGCAGCAGTCGTGCCGCGCAGGATGCGCGCGGAAGTTCCTGGACGGCGGCGGGCAATCTTCCTTCTCGTTGTGTGTAATGCCGCCCTGTTCCCGAACTGGTGCCCACCAGATTTTCGCGGAGAGCCTGTGGAAGCGATTGGTTCCGTCTTCCTCAGTGGCGCCGTGCTCGCAGAGTGGACGCTGACATCGGATGCGGAAAATGATGAGATGATTTACATGGACAGTATAGCTCGCAAAATGGTCTCTGCGCGGGAGGTTTACGGCAATGTCTTTTACTTAGCTGTGGAGACTCTGGAGTTATTGCATCGCCTTGAGGTGGATGACCCCCGCAACCTCAATCCGATGCAGCTTATCGCACAGGCTGGGGACGCGCTCGCTGACAGAAGCCTTGGGGGACAATGCTCATTCGGGAACTGCATCACAGAGTGGCTGAGAGACGTGAGGCATCGCATCTTTTCAATCCGAGTGTGTCCTCGATTGTGCGCTGCAACGCTTCAGAAGAGATGGCAAGTGTTTCACGCCGTGGCCGTGACTAGAAAAATCAATAGAGATCGATTGTTCGGTGGTCCCTCGCCAGCTGAGCTCAGCAAGTTCAGAAGCGAAGTGGATGCACTCGCTAGGGTCCAACATTGTGGTGTTGTTCAACGGCGTGCTCATTTTATCACTGCTATCCCAGTTGCAATCATATTGGATTGGCTCTGGGCGTCACGGCACCTCAAAGATGCAGCCAATATCAATGACGCCAAGAGGGACTGGGTCAGGGTGTTCTCGTCGAGCGCGGACACTCGCGCAGCCATGCTGGAAGACTCGTCGGTCATGAATCGCGAGACGCTCAGGCGTGCTCGCGTTCGGCTGGATTGCGTTGCGATGCTACTCACCAGGGCCTTCTTCGCCAACATCCCCGCCGACCACACGAACTTGTACATTTTCTGTGATGGGAGCCCCCAGCATAGAGGCCTTGAGCTCTTCGCGTCGACGCTCGACGTGCACTTACCTGGACACCACCGTCGCATCTTGTTGCCCATGGTTTCTTTGGCGAAATGCTGCTTGGACACTCAAGGTATGGGGGGCTCGTGAAATTTGCATGGGGGTCTGTAGTTGGATGTTTGTCCGAGCGCCTTGGGACCCGATGACAGCGACTGGGGCGGGGGAGGATGAGAGGTAGGCGGAATGGGGGGAACGCAGAGAGGAGGAGGGAGGCAATGGGAGGATGGGGGTCGACAGATGAGGAGAAGGATGAGAGGGATGATGAGGGCGGCGAGGGCGCGGGGGGGGGACCACGTCGAGGAACGAGAAAGGTGAGTGCGAATGACGAGGTGGATGAGGAGGGCGCATGCGATCGGGACAAGGCCGCCCCACCCCACCCCCCACTGAGACCCGAATGCAAATTTGGCGCCCCCATCTGCGAAGGGAAAGTTGCTGCTCTTGTCTGGCAATTATTCCTCGTTGTTGGCCTGGCTTTGCTCCGCCCACTGTGCAATCGAGTATTGTCGATCACCACTGACATGGGCACGGAGAGCATAATCCCAAACATTCACGATATGTTACCACAGCTGCTCCGATATTACGGATGCCCCCTACCAAGCTTGCCCGTGAGGACAGACAAATTGTTCCCCAGAGCGTTGCACATCCGAGGGTGGCGTCACACATGGGATTTAGTAATGCAGACTGCCCTCAATGGCTGCAGGTTCTGGCCAGGCTTCCTCGTGAAATTGAAAGCGATGGTGGCGTTCTTCCGCGACGTATCCAACGTGCAAGAACTTGTGCGGCACTTGCAGCGACGCGGCCGTGTGGGCGCTGCCCAGGTCCTCGGCAAGGTATCGCTGGCGCCGTTTGCAGAGTGGCGTTGGCACACCTTGCATCGCGAGCTGAAAGCATTGGGTAAAGTGTTGGGCACGCTACGTGATAACTTCGATGTGGCTTGGTTTGCGTTCGGTGACGCCGTCGGTGTACAGAGAGTTGCTGCGGCATTAGGCAGCGCAGAGTGGATGTGCCAATTCCACCGTATATCTGACTACACTGAGTGGATCGATTATGCTATGGGTTGGATTGGGAAGTGTGTCTGCCACCCCGACGATTCGTGTGCATGTTGGTGGCGTGGACGTCGATTGAACTTAGCAGGGGATTTCTTATCGGACACGCTGGCGGAGATGCTTACGTTGGTGAATTCATTTACGGCTGGTATGTTCCAAGGCGGTGTCTTTTTGTTTGGCGTAAGCATTACACCCCCGCTCGAGAGTTAGGGTTTCTTGAATGCATGTGCCCGCGTACTCCCCGCCCGTGTTGTGCAATGCCGAGGGCGCCCCGAATCACAATGCCGCAACTTAAGTGGATGATGGCAGTTGGATCTGCGGCTAGCGGAAGCGTCAATTAAATAAGGGGGGGGGGTGTCGAAGGCGAGGCGAGGTGGGAGGTGGGAAGAGATCGGATGAGGGGGAGGGACATGGCGATGGGGAGGGATGATGAGGGCCAGTGGGAGGGGGGGACGATGGAGGATGAGGGACGAGGATGAGGATAATGCGTGCGTGGTAAGGGCACCTCTGCATTCCTCCACCCCCTGCCACACAGAAAGACATCTCACACTCACATAGGCGACGTGCACCTTTGGCAGCATGTATCTGGATTATGGCGCCTTACTGTTCACCTGGCTAAGCGAGCCTTCCACTACCTTGACACGCTGCCATGGCTACTGGCTCGATTGGACAAGCCTGGAGTGAAGGACACCTGCATTGCCCGATTTGGCCAAGTACGCCCTGACCAACATCATTATGTGACGCGTGAGTTCCTCGACGCAACGTTCCCGAACAACTTGAGGGCTGACGTCGACCACATATCCCCCAATGGTGGTAATATTATGCCGTGTCTACGGCGGGCGCTGGATGGGCTTCATGCTATTCCCATGGGCGACGTTGTTG